GCAAAATGGATGTTTACCTTTGAACATTTTTCTTTGGCCTCAGTTTTTATGAATCAGGATTCAATTAAGTCTGGATTTAGTGCAACTCTGTTTAAGTACAATTTTAGGTCTCAGCTAATGGGTGTTTCATGTTTCCCTATCCTTCCCCCTAGGTGGTTTTCAATTTCCATCCTGTTGGTCACACCCATGAAGATATCGACCAGCTCTTCAGCTCCATCAACAGCTACCTGAGGACCAGAGACACTTGCACTGTAGAAGGTGAGCTTTGAGGTTCAAAGTATGCATTGAATGCAGTCAAATGTGTCCTTTCAATGTGTCTTTTCACGTAATTCTTTCTAAGAATACCAATTTACCAAATGTTATATTTCATATAATATTTAGTAAATGACTTCTTTTTAATTCATGGCAGACCTGATGAAATGCCTGCGAGAGATCAAAAGGAAAGGAAGGCAAGATGCTCTTCATGCTGAGGAAGTGACTTTGGTTCATGACTTCAAGAGTATTGTGCAGCCCCATTTTCCACAGCATTTCAAGGGACACAGACAACCTTTGGGATTCAGATTCCGCAAGATCCAAGGAGTTACCCAACTGCATGTTCGGAAACAACTTTGGTTCATGACTTCAAGAGTATTGTGCAGCCCCATTTTCCACAGAATTTCAAGGGACACAGACAACCTTTGGGATTCAGATTCCGCAAGATCCAAGGAGTTACCCAACTGCATGTTCGGAAACATGCTATGGTGAATTGGTGCCCAAATGAAGAGGACAACCAGTATGACAGAGAAGCCCTTGGTCCAGATTTTGGGTACTTGGTCCTGAAGGTTAGTGACAAAGCAAAGCTTTTTCAAATTTTGTCCTATCAGGAGAGGAAGGCCTTATTGAATTCATTTTTATTGCAAAGGAGGAATACAAAGCCAATGATTGTATTGTAATAACAATATTCCAATCCATAGAATAGGATTTCATATTTTTTGCAGCATCATCTATTTATGCTGAGATGTTTCCCATAAATCCTGGCAATACTTGTGATTGATCTAGGCCTTGGTGACCTAGTTCTCTTCAATGTTATTGTACCATAGCTCTGTAAATTCTCCTTTAAAGTGGCAGAGGAACCTTAAAGGGGAAATCAGCTCAAGCACAAAAGTAGTTTTTAACTGGAATACTAGCAGATTCTTCAGAAGAAACATTCTTTGGTATGCTTCTGAACAAGTAGGGTGTCTAATAATAATTAATTTTCTATTTTGCCCTTAGACAATTCCACCTGTTGATGCATTTACTTCCTTGGTACATCCTGACTGGGACAGGGCAGGGTTGAAAAGAGTGAAGACCTCAATACCTAACTACTTTCCAAGGATGCCAGAGGACAAGATTCAAGCATGGAACATGTTCTCCCTCGATACCCTTCAACCGGTAGCATTTTCAAATACCTGAAGAGTGTGCCTATGCATCATTTGAAAAATGTAGGAGCTTGTTACCGTTTGATTTGTGCATTTGTTACAGGAAGTCACTCTGTACATCAGGACTCTTATGGAACACAAGAGGACATTGACCACACCAGGAATGACTCCAGCCATGCTGAACTTCCTGAGGGGCATGGAGAAACAGTTACTTGGACCTCTTGAACAGGTATGCAAATATGCACAGAATTCAAGCATAGAAGTACATACTGGCCTCATGATCCACATTTATGGTAATTTGGAAGAATTGTAGTGCATTTTGTCACTGGGGTATATGCTGTTTCAAATATATATGTCTAGGGCTTATCTTCCTTTACTAGTGCAGTGATCCCAAGTCAACAGTTGTGCTTTAAAGTTGTACATGCTCTCAAGTTAACGTTTTTTTTGCAAGGGATAAACACGTGCAATGTTTCTCCTGATGATGCAGCAGTGCAACTGTCAATACATATTTCTCCATTGTACTATATTTCTTTTCACAGCCTATCATTGGTTCAGTGGGAAGCCGCAGGCAGGGGACATTTGGTGGAACAGAAGATCTCCAACCGGGAATGCTTGCAGCTGTTTATACAGATGATGAGCTATCCCGTCCTTGGTTGGGAGAGATACAGGCAGTAGATGATGTCAATATGGTGAAGATCCACTGGTATACGGGAGGCTATCCCAAATCATGGAAGCCCATGCCTGGAACCAACAGCACATCATCTGTTCACCGTGAATCCCTTCTATTGTGGGGGTTTACACTTACTGAGAAAAGTCAGCGACTCAGAAGTGAAACAGCTGCAGAATTGAAGCGGCTCTATCGAGAAACCGATGACCGGATGGCGATCCAGCAGAATACGTCTCAGAGCAAGTAAAGGTTTAAATTTTTCCAGGTCAGTTATGTTGCTACATTTGCTCCTCTTTGATAACAATTTGTATATGCATGTTGGGAAATTTCTAAACATGCAAGACTATTCTTTTTCAAAAAGAGATTGTTTCGGTGTGTCACATTCTTGAAAAAGTACCTGGATAAAAGTGAGAATGCACAATATTTTAAAGTGAGAGTTTTCTAGGAACAAGCTCATCACCATGGTAAGAAAGTGGAAGGCTCTATTAAAATTGTATTCTAAATATCGCAGATTTGTCTAGTTATGTATGCCACGGGTGTAATATTGACTTCCTTTTCCTCCCATTTCATTGACAGCATCAGCAACTGTAAGCATCAACAACAAATCAGAAGGACAACAACCCCAGAATCCCCCAGCTAAGAAAAGAAGAAATGGTTGTATCCTTCCTGCTTCCAGGAAGCACTACCGATGACATATTACTTTTTCATGCATTCTGTTTTTCTTCCCTTTCAGGATATATCTGCACAAGTACAAGTAAGGAGAGTGAGAAGGCTGCCAAGGAGTATGGATTCTGGTCACATTTTTCCTCAGGATGTAGGTGGGCCTAATTCCTTGTCAGTCATGTATTAGACTTACCTACCTAACCTAACTCAAGTATTTAATCATGGCTTTGCCTTTTTTCACCACCAGGAATGCTAGCCCTTTGGAGACCAGGAAAGGATGAACAAGGATTCTCTTCCAAGGCTACTGGATAGGGATGTTTTCACGTCTTGCTGTCTTATGGAATAGTCCCTTTCAGGTCAGTTCTGTATGACAGGGATGCCGGAGTGAATGATATAAGAGCCATCTGACAACACAAAATGATGTCTAATTCAAATCTATCCCTTGCTGCAGATGATGATTCCATGGAGACAGAACGTGGAGCTTGCCTCAATCCAGCTTCAATCTTACTCCTGGAAGATGTGAAGAGTGGTGAACATCGTGCATCACTTCTAAGCTGCAGTTTCAAGATACTGAAGACTTGTGCAGCATTTTGGACTTGTTTCATGCAAATGCAGTGATATTGTGACTCATAAGTTTTTCTCATTCATTCCATATATATTTTTATTGTATAATACAAGTGGGCCTTGCATTGAGCTTGAATGGAGAGTGTATGAATTTTCAAAATTAAATGGTTTCTAAAAAATTATGTGAAATGAGTACTTGATGATTTTAAATGAAGTTAGGTTCTCCTCACTTTCAAGAAAAATGTTTCAATGAAAATGTTTTACCATTTGTTGCTTCGAAGTATTCAAGTTTTTTTTTCACATGATGTCCATGACAATAAAGTATATGTATTTAATACTCATGAAAGAATGTACCTGAGTTTGCATGAAGTTCGTTTCACAGTCGTTCCATGTGCATCATTCTGGAATAGCCTTCTGCTTGCAGAGAGCCTCTTTTTTGTTGTCTAGACTCTTTGTTGCACGAAAGAACCACCACATTGGAAGATGGACCAAAGGGAAAAGCTGCCATTTGGCACCTATTACCTTTGGTCTGGAGCATGTGCTTAGCCATGCTTTGGACCGAAGGGAACTTGTGCCATTTGGCATCTATTCCCTTCGGTCTGGAGCATGCGCACCGCCCTGCTCTGGACCAAAGGGAATAAATGCCAATAGAATGAGGTTCTCTTTGGTCCACTGGATGCTCATCCTATTAATAGAACAGGTTGAATATGAGTCATCTGGAAAACTTTCAAGAAAACCTCCCCCTAGCATATTGACACTACCACTCTCGAATTACAATCGAGGGGAATATGTAGTAGATTTCCCCTCCTCTCTAAGCAGAAATTTATACAAAAGACATGGAGATGGTATCCGTGAGAATTGGCATTGACCGCAGCATGTTTTTGGCAGGAAGGCAGGAGAAAAGCCCAAGTCAGACAAATGTGAGTCAAACATGGTACCATATGACTAATTGAAAATACAAACCTTAATTGAAACTTGTTATGTTGTTTAACGTACTTCCTCCCCAGAGGAAGAAATCTGGGAAAGCGAGGTCAGAGGATCGAGGGGCGTATGACACAGTTTCACTCCGTCCAATCCACTGATTACCAAACAGGTTATTCAGTTTCTGCAGGATCGTGACAGCTAAGGGGGGAGTGGCACCGTCGTGCCACTCCCCCCTTTGTATGTTGTTTCATGGGTTCAAAGGTTTCATGGAATGATGACCACATGCGAGTGTTTCAACTTTTGAAACATCCCAAGTATGTGAAGTATTCGCCATTCTGATCAATGCACTCTCCACATCTAACAAAACCATTGTTCACAACTGCCGTCAATGCGCCTTTGTTAGCGGAAGCGATACCTTCAGTAATTCGGTTCTTCATGTCATCTGAATTCCATAGTTTTGCTTGATACAATTCGTTTTCTTATGGAATTAGTACGAAATAGCTACAAAACCGTTGTAGCTGGATTTCTCTAGGATCGTGGATAAAGGGGTATTCTCGTTTTTGAACAAACATGGATTGAAAACAAGAGAAAACCGTGGTGAATGGATAATCACAATAATTATTCTTTATTCAAAAGATACACTATAATAATATCCTCATGGACTGTTCCTTTTTCCTCTCATTTTTCCCCACAAAGGCAACTGATTAAAATTGCATGATCATGAATAATTCAAGTTGTGCAACGCGGGGATCGATTTCTCACATGTCAATCACCCTTTGTCTTCATCCTGTCGAGATAATTGTCAGCCTATTCTTCCGAAATTCCTCTCGAGGGAGGCGTGGAGGGTAGGATGAGGGAATAAACTGTCGCGATTAATCTGAAGCGGTCAATCCATGCGGAAATCAACCGTACAATAAACACATTCATTACTTGAGCTGCCATTGCAAGTTCGAATTTTTCCCCTTACACTCAGGGTGAATTTTGCGTGAAACCGTTTTAAATGTGCCATTCACGATAGTAGATTCTTAGAGACTTTAATAGGTAATTAAAGACAAAACTCCAGGCTCAACAAATTTTCCTATGATTTCCCTCATGACGTACCTCCCTGTGCGACTACGTAAAGAAGCTAAAGATCTCGGTTAGTTAGCTTGGGAATGACGGCACTTAACGGGAAGTAACTTGAATGATTAATTTATATGCCGATGACCCCGGGAGTTTTACCAGAATGGTCAAAACAGATATAGAAAATTAATCAAAGCCCTAGATTATGAGGCGATGAAGATGCGACCATAGCAAGTTTCTTATCCCCGAAGTGCAAACAAACTCCCTAGTATTATGCTGGGTGGCCCAAAAGTCGTGCATCATATGGTATTTCATTCTATGACGATATTCATAAATTTTTCTTCCTTCCTGGTAAATGATGACTGAAAAATTAACAATAGACGAGAGGGCGTATTTAATACTAACGAGTATTTAATACTAGCTATGGTCGCGCATTAGGCGCCCCATTACCTTGGATAGTGGCAAACACGTATCAATCACGTATCTAAAGTACGTTCCCATTGAAATACGTGACATATGGGAAAGAAAGTCTTCATTTTTATCAAACTCATTACTTCTATTATTTATAGTGTGCCTAACTTGAAATCTTTTCATGAATCCTATTTTGTAATGGTGGAGAATACATTTTTAAATACTTCCCTGTAATCCATATAATCACTTCCCAATAATCTACCCTAAGGGGACATATTTCAAAAATAGGATTTTTCCTGTGTTCAGCCATCAAATATGTACTTCTGAGGGAATTTCACATTTTCCGTCTCTGTTTCGTTGGATCAAAACAATATTCAGGAAAATGGGACTTAAAAAACGTGCCCTTATAGGTTTTGGCTTAATTTTTTTTTCTTCTGAAATGTAGACTCAGGGAACTCCATACCACCCTGTTTCAGTCATACGCGTTTCCTGGGGCCTGGCAGGCCCTGATCGGACTCTGGCAGCCGCTGGTCGGAATCAGGCAGGAGATAATCAGAAACGGCCAGTTGTGTGCTGCACTCGGGCAGACCCTAATCGGACGCGGGCAGGCCCTGATCGGACTCAGGAAGTTCTTGATCGGATTCGGGCAGAAGTAGATTAGACTCGGGCATTCGCTGATTGGACTCAGGCAGGGGATGATACCCAAGAATATGACCGAGCGGCACGAAAATCCGTGACCTGGTGGATGTCACTGCACAGTTTTCACTCCGCGTTGCAGATGCGGATGTTTTATTTCCAAGTTTTTTGACCACCTATCTGCTTTCATCGTGATGAAGCAGAGACAAAGACGCAATGAATGCAGTGGACGCATTCAAGCAGCCCACCACCCAATAAATTCAAGACAGCTTCGCAGTTCGCAGATAGTCTTTATTGAACAAATACATATTGCAGAAAGTCTACAGCAGAATATTGTCTATTGCAGAATAGAGTCCTACTGAAAAAGGCGACATTTCCCTCATTGGGTGAATCGGTATGCAATGACCCCACACTAGATATCTACATCAAAAGTATATATATTTTCAAACAGCGACGTACTCATATGAATGGAATATTGCAGAATTCAGTGTACTTTGAAGTTATATTGAAGTGAATTACGAAGTTATAATATGAATGACGCAATGTAAGTTGCTGAAGAAATGATGTTGGTAATTGTTACCACTTTTAAATGGTATCAAATTTGCGTAGGTTATCATTTGGCTGTGAAGTTCATAGATAATGCAAATAAAATAACAAGAAAGCTAAGAGAGAGAAAGTAGATAAATTCCAAACAATCATTCGAGTCCCTTTCTTCTCATGGCACAGTATACATTCGCAGCGTCTATATACGAGCGGAATGACATGACAGCCCTCTTCATTTCTTTAGTGTTTGCCGATGTGGAGGATCTCATTTTTCCTTGGGAATAATTTGTTGTGGATGCTGGAGGAAATTTGCTCGATGAAGTCGAAGAGGGTGAGAAGAGAAATCCCAAGGCAGACGCCGACGATCCCTTCGATGTTGGACAGGAGATCTGGTAGGGTCACCTTCTCCTTCTCGATGATGTAAGTCACCTGTTGGAGTATACA